ACCAGGCAAATTTACAAGACGGAAATATGTATATACTTTTTATTATTTGAATTTTTGTACTATTAATCAACATCCATCATAAACTCTATCTATTCGGAAATTCTTTTACATTTATTTATGAAAAAATAACCTATGGCAAATATCGGTCTTTTATTTAGTAGTTACGTGCTGCATTGATCAATGCCACGATTATAGAACAGTGACTCCTAGTTAAAATTGAACAATAGCCTTTTGAGTATCCAAAGAGTAAAGACAACCTATAGATAATGTGATTGTTGCCAAGTCCGTTATGTTCGCTAATTCCATTTGCATTTTGTATAATGTGTATAGATAACATGCGGCGAGGGAAACGTTACTACGTTTTTAACAAGAGAACTCGACCGATATTTTATACCAATCATTTTAGCAAAGTGTTATTCTGTTGAAATTTTCCTGCATTAGTTATAACAGTATATATATAATGTCATGAATATCTCTTCAATCTTACTCTCCTATTTAAATATATTTTTTTCTAATAGTAGCTTTGTTTCAAGTATTATTCCATTAAAGAAATCTAATAATTATATCATATAAATAAAAATTCTAAATATAAAAATCTAAGTTGATTTATTAATACGAACTTATTAAAAACAAAAAATTTTGCTGTTTTAAACATAATTTTAGGCTTCCAAATAAATAACAACCACTTTCATAATCGATCTTTGAATTATAATTTTAACAAAATGTTAACACTGCGAAGGGAAATCACTGTAGCCGACTGTGGTCATTGCACGTAATGAAGAATGGCATAACCGATTTGCATGCCTCTAATAGTGTATAAATATAACACATGCCGAAATATATACACAGACTATTAGTCAGAAATCAGCGACGTTAATTTCCAACAAAATCGGCTGCAGGCGACAGTCGCCACTTACAAGTACGACGTTCGAAAGCTATGCGGTTTCTATTGCCTGTCGCGAAGGTACACAGGTTTTTTATTTAATATTATATACAGGTATAATAACCATCAGTCATTTACCAGTTTTTCCGTCAATTGTCCATATGTAAACATTAACGTGTACAGTACACGGCCTATATCACCATTTTTGAGGGGTTGCTACTATCTGTGTGTAATAACATCCAAGGTAAGAGAATGCGCGAAATCATGAAAACTATAAATGCTTTGCAGATCGTTTAAGACTTGAAACGTAATACTTTTACCAACTGTCGGCTGAATACAAAGGTAATTTCACATATTAAAAAAAAAGGTGTACTACATAAAAAAAGAACGCAAAAAGCCCGTAATGCTCATTTGCTATACAACAGCTAAACAAGCGTAATTTTTATTTCATTCGTTAGACAGACATAAAATACGTTAACGATGAGGCAGAGACAAAATAGTAAATAACGCATTGTACACATAAATAAACTTAATATAGTTGTAGGTCTTAAACAAAATGCCACAGAAAAATTTAAACATAAATCAAGGATGGAAACTATTATCTAGAATCTGGGTATGGCATCAACACGTTAATTCTTCTTCATTAAAAAACATTGATATTCATGAAAGAGTACAGTTTCTTTTAATATTTCGATTTATGATATGAAATGTCAAATTCAATTAAAATTTAAAATCATTTATAGTTCGACAGTACATTTATAACCAGAACCATGGATACGATTCTAATAATATTTAAAGTAAGTTAAATGAAAATATGTTTAATATTTTTCATGTACATTGTTAAAGAAAAATATATGAAATTATCGAGGTATGACGATAAAAATTTTAAAAAATGTGCCGACATTTCATGTAAACAAAAATATATTCATCAACAAACTAACATAAAAATGTACTATGCAAATTGTAGTTCACAATAACCTAACATTTAAAAACCATATTCGTTGGTTCATTACGAGTATCCATAATAATAGAATCCTGTACTTACATATAAAATATCTCTATACGTGTATAAATCAAAACACATTTATTGTTATTATGATATATAAGCTTGCTTTCTATTTTCAAGATATTAACCATTCCACTGAAGTATTTTTTTGAGTTTGCCGCATACAGAACATCCTACTGTGTAGATTAAATTTTTGACCCGTCACATAGCGAATGTCTTTTGCTTTGATAACGTACATATTTTCTATACTAGTGCCTATGTCAGCTGAATACCGATAATACTCACAGATAATAAAAATATGTGTATAAAAATGAATTGCATTGTACTTTGAAGAAAAAATAGTTTAGATTGATGAATTTTTTTTGATAATGACACTGTGCCAGTAAACAATTTATAATGAGTTATAAAACTAAGAAAAATAATTGTTACGTAAAAATTGTTTTATAATAACTAATTTTGCAATATCGCTGTCGTTTTAAACTTAAAATAACTTTGTTTTTATTGTTTTAAAAAAACGAATTTGTTAAAATTATATTAACTTAAAATATAATTAACCACATATATTACATATATATAACAACTAATATAAACTTGACTTACAGTTTGATAATGGTCTTAAAGGTCTTATATAAAATACTAAAAGGATTATACAAAAACAGTTATTCTGTGAATTACTGCAGTTTTAGCGATAAATATTTAAAAGGAAAATTCCTTCCTCAAATTACAGAACATTAAAAGAAATTGGTACAAATTAACCTACGCTTAAAAGACATACATACATACGCCAACCCAAATATACTGTAACGGCAACCTCCTACACGAGCCATTTCTGTTTTGATACGGAAATTTACAATAGAGAATTATTTTTTGTGAGCACTACCGTCTATTTTATTACAGAAAAGGATATATTGAGTGGGTGGTGCGTTTTCATTTGAGATTTGCATCAAAACATTAGATGAAAAATAAACGTTTGTAGCACACTGTGATTTAGCTTTAGGTATATTATCATATCGTAAAAATTAAGGACTTAAGAGTCAAAATTTTATGGCAGACATTAAATGATGAGTCATGAATAATACAATGAAATCAAATAGATTTTACAAATATAATTTTCTTTCTTATAATAGATCCAAGAGAAAGACAATAAAAACACAGAAGTTTGGAGCAAAGACTAAGGTTATATTGTTATCTATGACCATAAGCATCTATGCATCTTGAAAAATATACGATTCGAGTAAATTATTAACACGATATTCAGATTAGCATTTCCGACACATTAAACATTTAAAAAATATCTTAAATAGCCATTCTTAAAATGTTGAACATAAATCTGTGGTAAATTATAAATCAAAATTAAAATGAACATTTGAGTATGGCAATAATATTACATATAAGAGATTGTTATGTTATTAAAATATGTTTATTTTAATATTTTTAATATTTTATTTTTATCTTTTGATTGACAATTTAGGAAAGTACTAAAACAAAACCTTTATTTTCCTCGTTTATAATTACTTAGGCAGAACATGTACTAAAATTGAATAACTTTAACGGAAAATGTAAATAATAATAATAATTCAATAATTTTGTAACAAACATTTTTTGTAATTAAGACATTACTCAATTTATATTTTTATATTAACAATATGTTTGTCTATTAACATATAGCATGAAAATATTTATATTTATTTAGTTATTTTAGATGAATGTCTCATATGAATAAAAAGAATATAAATACAATTTTAACCGATGTAATAACTGTCACGTAATGATTTGTTAATTACTAAATGAATGTACATAGAAGTATAAATTATTAACTTATTTATAGAATATTAAAGAGTATAAATTTTTAATACTTTTTTATTTTTTATTAACTTTTGTTAAGTTTTTCAATCAATTGTAAGCATCATAATCAGTGTAGCAAAAACCAGGGATGTATAAAAAATACTAGACACTATTCGCATACGGCTCCCTCTAAGTAGTTGAGGCATCGACCATAATGAATTTTTCAAACAGAAATTTGTTCATTTTTAATATAAATAATATCATGAATTAACAGGATCCATCCATTAAACTTATGCAAAACCATTTATCCAGTAAAAAGTTTATTTCAATTATATGCATGAACTAAATCATAATAATAACCAAACTAGTAAGTATGTGTATATAGTGCTCATTAAATTCAGCAATTGCTTTGTATGGTATAATTAAACATATACGAGAAAAAAGTACACTTATTAAAAACAACTGTCAAATTAAAGAAAATCGCTTAAAATTGATATCTAATTGCAACTTCATAAACTATGTATCCAAGATATAAAAATGATTATGGATATTCCCTTTATGAATTGTAATACATAATAATAACACATCAATTACATAAATTGATTTCTTAAAAACAAGCATTTAAAGCGTTTGTTTTTAAAAACGCTAATTATAATTTGAAGTATGATTTTCTATAACTAAAATTATTTTGAAATTATTATGTATCTAAAAGCAATATGGTTCTAAATTTATAAAATACATGTGATATTGTTACATTACATTATTAATTTATTTATTATTTATTAACTTATGATAGTAAAAAAACGGCCAGTGTCCTATTTAGTTCTTAAGAATGCACATACAATTTTATGGTTGTAATTAATGTATGTACTCAAATCTACTTCACACTCTTAGGGTTGTACAATCTTATGGAATGTGTTTTAATGGAATGTTAACATTCAAATAACATGAAAAACGCATTTACGGGTAAAATTAAAAAATAATTATAAACTATTTATTTTATAACAAGTTTTGTAAAAAATAATTATAAAAAAAGAAATACTAAATGTTATTTTTAAACTTTTAATCATTCCAAAAATTAAAAATATAAGGAAACGAAAAATTCTCCTCACAAATAACACGAGTAAAATATTTTCAAAGTTTTATAGAGGGATTAAAAGTTTTTAAGTGTAATTAGATATTTTGGGTAACTCTAGAAAATTTTAAATTTTCAAACGCTACTCTAAGAAAAATATTTTATAAAGACTTGCTTTTTCACAAATTTGAGAATATTTTCAAGTTATTACAATAGTAAGTAAAACTTAACTAACTTTAAAATAGACTTACTATTCTTTGAGTTTTGTCTGGAGCAATAACCGTAATCTCGTGAGAACGGATCGTATCTATGGTCACGTTGTCGTTGGTAACCTGAGTGGTCGTACGATTTCCGTCTGTGGTATCGTTTCCATTAAATTTAACGTTGAATATATTAGGCACTTTGGTAATTAAAGATAACCGACGCGAAAGTTTTCTACCGATTTTCTTTGACTGTTTCCGAAAACTTTGCGCCTCCTGCTGTTGTTGCTGCACTTGTATGGCCGTGTAGGGGCCACAATTGTTCGGGGTGGTGTTCATAACGGCGGAACCCGAGTCCTCCATGGCGAGAAGTCCTCGTTCCCAAACGAATAAAAAAATTTAAAAATACAGTTTAGAAAAGACTCAGTTAAACGATAAAAAAATAAAAACTTCCAACCATTATGGTGACAGTTCAAATATGTAAGCACACGTGTAATGGCGAACAAAATCACGACGTTACGATACGGCCAGACGGACAACACGCGCGACTGACGGCAAGCAACTGAAGAGCACATGCTGACTTGGCGATACATCTGCTCGTTGCCACCGGTTGATATGTAGTCACAAAGTCAGCGACTAGTTTCGCACACATAATTCGCCGTTTATTAAAAATGGATTGACCGTTAAAATATTTTAAAGTAAAATCTATCAACTGAAGTACTAACAATCACAGATTTTTTGAAAATAAATTCTGCTTCATTCATATTTCTAATATGAATATAAATATAAAGTTGCTAATATGATATTAAATTTAATAACTTAAATTACTTTGTTGTCGTGTTACATAACACTGTTTAACGGTACAGTGGTAATAGTCTATAACTATGTCGTGTTTACATACCCAATTATCATCATTATACCAAATTTACACGTTTTACTAACACCTTATAATAAAGCAAATCAAAAATAATTATAGTATTTTAATACTTATTATGCACCTTCATTTAAGTAGTAAAAAGTTTAAATTTTACTAATAACCAGTTATTTTAAATAAACAGATTGTCAAGTGTACATAAATGAATCCCGATATAAGTACGTAAAGGAATTGACAAAAACTAAATAAAATATACTTTTTAATCGACTTTTTAGCTTTAAAGACTATTTTTAAATTAAATTCGTATCCAAAAATATTTTAACAAAAATATGAGTTTCAATAGTAACATATTTTAACATTTTATAGAATGAAAAGTGATGATAAATAAGATTTACTTAAATAACATGAATAAATATTAGGATGTATACTATATAATTAAAATGAAATTCTAATTGTAATGATAAGTTGAACTACTTGTGCAATACAAAGTTGACTAAGTAATATCTTGGGGCCCCTAAGAATTTTTTATTTAAAAAAAACTATCAAAAATAAAAAGAAATAATATTTAAGAAGAAAAGGCCTCTTGAGGCACTGTTACGCAACTTTATTATGAGTGTTGTATGGTTCATATGATTATTAGACCATACGAAATGATCATTTCAGAATATTATTAAAGGAAACATTTGTTAAGTATTTTGAAGATAGGAAACTGAGTCCTCTTGTGCCAATCTTTATTTCCCGTCTACTGTGTAACATATAAAAAAAAAACCAAGCACAGTGGGGTCGCGGCATAGTGGGGATGTTGCATAGTTGGGTCCAGTATAGATTTAATCTGACAGTGATTAAAATCACTATCATAAGAAACGCTTCGATGCAAATCAGTAGATAGTGTTTAATTCTAAGAAATTGGTGGATAATTACAAAAGCTACATTATCTGCTAGTTTCTTATTAATACCCTGATTAAGATAAAGTATGTCGAATGAAAAAGGGATTATTAAAAAATATTATTTCTCATAAAAAAATTGTGTTGATTCGTACACTTTTCAATGAGTTATAGCATTATAAAGTTAAAAATGTAACCAACCCAACCCAACATCAACTCCTATTTCCTTAATTATATCCAGATTAGTAATTATTTTAATTATATATTATATAATTTTTATAATTAATTATTTTCAAATTATTATTGATTTTTAATATGTTAAAAGTAATCATTTTGAACCTACTTCTTTTTGTTCTTTAAAGTGAAAGTTTTAATAAAAAAAAAATGAATTTATTACCATAACTTTTAACTCAACTTGCAAGTTTGAAATAAATATTATTAAATAGAAAAAAATGAAATTGGTAGATTATTTCAAAAACAACAATAACACTTATTCCCTTAATTTTACCCCGATTTATAACTATAATATATGAATACATAATAATTACAGTAATTAAATTGAGTATGAAAGTGGTATTCAATAATATAATATTGTAATTTTTACGGAGATATTATAAAAATAAAAAGGAGTTGTATATTCATATACTTTTAATGCGTATACAAATTTAAAGGAATTTATGCAATACTTTTTAATAAAAAAATTTTGTTACTTATGAATAAATACACTAAACAAAAGGAACTTTCATCAGAAAAAAAATATACTTTTCTAAATAAACTTTTCGTGATGTTTTCAAATGTGCAATTAAACTTTTTCTATTACTTCTAAGTTTTAATATTATTACTTATTATTAAAAAATAAGTATTTACATATAAAAAAAAATAATTAAGAACAAAAAAAATTGTATTAAATTAATACTGATTTTGATTTTTAATATGTTAAAGGTAATCATTTTGAACCTATTTTTTATTGTCTTTTAAAGTGAAAGTTTTAATGAAAAATACCTTCTCAGCTTCGCATCGAAGCTAAAAAATGAATTTGTTACCATAACTTATAGTTCAACTTGCAAGTTTGAAATTGACATTATTAAATTGAAAAAAATGAAATTTTTAAGATTAATATGCAATCTGGAAATTTTATAATTACTAATTACAGTACATTTGTCAGAAAAATTCGATTTTTTTACATTTTTATCGTAATAGATAACTGAAATAGAAAGAATAGTAATCATATCCTAATAACTTTTGGTGTTTAAAAAAATTCTGCAATTGAAATATTCAGAACTTAATTAATTTTAATAATTTACTTTAATTAAATGAACCAATCAAACCAAAGTAGTTAAAAAGATTTACTCAATTGAGCATATTATCAAAAATATAATTATAATTGTAAAACTCCATCGTTAACTTCAGGTGAAACTAAAAATCATTTTTTTTTTAAATTTATGATTTATATAGCAAAATATTACTAAAAAATTTGGCATATTATAGACTGGTAGTAGCACACAGAAATAGAGTTAAAAAATTAATAAATTATAAAGTAAAATTATTTACTTTTGTAGTTGAATACTTTTATCATATCAAATTTAATTCGACAATAAATAATTTAAGAATATTAAAAATTAATGATTTTAATTGTTTGTATGGACAAATCTAGTTAAGCTACTTTTTATTTGAATAAGGAATATTTTTTTGATTTTTAAGAGTAATAACTTAAACTAATCATTAACTTAAATATCATAAACTTAAATGAATCATTTGACGTATCGTTGAAAAAAGTAGGTCTAGTGAGGGTTGGCAAAATAAATCGTAGCCAGAAAAAGAACCACATAGTAAAATAATATTAACATGAATATCAATTTCTTCTCACGAGGGGAGACTATAGTGATAAGATCCTTTATATTTATTGAAATTATTGAATCTAAATGAGATAAATATCAAATGATTTGAAAATTCTATTCTAACTCAAAAAAAAAATGCAAAATTTTAGAAGCCACAAACGGATTTGAACCTCGTACCCTAGGCGTTAAAGATCAAGGTGTTACCCATTCGGCAACTATTCGTTGATTTTTGTTGCATGATAAAATTGGCTATTTAAGCTAACTCAAATTTAAAAATTACTTTTTCGACTTTAAAAAAGTAAAAAATGTTAATAAGTATAATATCATATGTCTTATGAACTTTATTCTATGTCAATGAAATTATATAATATTCATGAAAGTCAGTTTATTCCCCTAATAAAATATTTTAAAATAAAATAAAATACAAAACCTAGAATTTTAATAAAAAATAGCATATTTTTAAATACGGTAGCCTTTTGCGCATAGAAGATAGGTCGTCGGGACAAATTTTTTTTTTTCATTTAGTAGTACATAAAATAAGCTTTAATTTGATATATGTTTAAAGGACGCAGTATTTCCGGAACATTTTCAAAAATTAAGTTGAAAAAGTTAGTTTTTGTAAAAAAGTTGCTATTTTAAATCCCCCCTGTGAGCAGAATAAGTGTTAGATTTTCAAAAAAAAATGATATCAAATGAAAGAAAATTACCTAAGGTTTCAATATAAAGAAATATTATTTTGATTAGTTAATATTTGAAAAAGTTATGGCAGTTTTAAGTACAAAAAACATCGTTATAAAAGGTGATTTTTATCGCAAATATTACATTTTTTTTATAATTTCGACAGCCATTTGCACATAGAAGATAAGGTGTCGGGACAAATTTTTTTTTTTCATTTTATAGTACATAAAATAAGCTTTAATTTGATATATGTTTAAAGGACGCAGTATTTCCGGAACATTTTCAAAAATTAAGTTGAAAAAGTTAGTTTTTGTAAAAAAGTTGCAATTTTAAATCCCCCCCCATGAGCAGGTTAAGTGTTAAATTTTCAAAAAAATTATATCAAATGAAAGGAAAATATCTAAGGTTTTAGTTTAAAAAAAAATTATGTTGATTTGTTGATTTTTGAAAAAGTTATGGAAGTTTTAAGAAAAAAAAGTGAAAAAAATGACAAAATTTGTCAATTTTTAAATTTGTAATTTTTTTGGATATTTCCCCCATTTGCGGGGAACGAGGGAAAATTTTTAAATTTTTAAGGGTAATGTCTTCAACTAGATACAATTTGTGATCTTTTGACGTATTGTTAAAAGAAATCGGTCCAGTGAGAGCTGAGAAAAAGTAGTGACAGACACAAAAAAAAAAAAAAATAAAAAAATAAACACATCATGGTAAAATTAATACCTTCTCAGCTTCGCATCGAAGCTAAAACTACATAAAATCCCCAATAAAAAATAAAGTCAATCTTCTATCAACCTTTAATGATTTAGACGTAATTATATAATTTTATTAAATCAATCATGGCAAAAAAACATTTGAAAATATGATTGAGTATGTTTCAGTTTATGTATATTTATATGTAAAATAGTGTATGGATAAACAGTCAATCGGATAAAAAAATCCTCATGTATCTATAAAAAAAAATTATATTGATTTGGTAATTTTATAAAAGTTATGGCAGTTTTAAGTAAAAAAAATGAAAAAATGTCGAAAATTAGCGATTTTTTAAATTATCAGTTTTTTGGAGATTTCCCCTATTTACGGAGAACGAGGGAATTTTTTTTCAATTTTTGAAGTTAATGTCTTCGACTAGATACGACTTGTGATCTTTGAACGTATTGATGAAAGAAATCGGTTCGATGAGAGATGAGAAAAAGATTTTTTGCTATTAATTTTTTATAATTAAATAATTATTAAATTAACAAATATAAACATTTATTACTTTTTATATTCAATAAAAATAAAAAATAATTTTTATTTATTAAGAGTTAAACATTTTTATTTAAGCGTCGTTATTTAGATTAATTGACAATTAATAGTAACGAAACACAGACCAAATACATAAGGTGGTGATAATTTGCCTGCTTAAAGCGCCTTAAATTAATCGCAGCATTCTAATAAAAAAGTTACAAGGAGTTTTAAATGAAATAGAATCTAGGCTTTTAGTTAAATACTGTTTTATATAGTAATATTAGTTATGTAAATTAAACTTATTATTATTGAACTGAAGTATAATTAAAATTATTATTTTGAAATTTGTAGTCGACAATTTTTACCCAAACAGCAAAATTATTAATAACATTTCAAATGTCACATATCAATATATAAATTGAAAATTGAAAGTAAAAAAGAATAACGTGAAAGTATTATTATATGTTATTTAAATCATGTTTTAATAAAATATATTAAAACAAATATTTATTTTTGAATTATAAAATGAAATAAAGTATAAAAAACATTAATACTTATCAAAAAATGTATCTGAATACTTTATAGTTAGTTAATTGTTCAAAAATATAACTTTTAATTTAATCATATTTTTACTAATATTATTATACAAAAATGTTGTATCAATATAAATTCTGAAAATATATAAAATATTAAAAAATAACAAATAATGTCTTCTTATGAAAAAAATGAATTAAAAATTAGAAATTTGAGACTTAAATTATTACGTATGTTTTATAAAAAAAAACAGTTTTAAAAAATTATTCTACTAGTGTATCTAAAGTAAGCTGTAAAATACTACAGTTAAATAATAAAAAATTCACAACTTAATTATACTCAAACTATACTTTTAATTATATAAAATTTTGGTAAAACAAAATATTATATAAAAATAATCAAATCAACATCAGTTACCAAATAATTTGTCTAATATTTTAAGTCTTTTTCTTCAAAATATAAACTTTACAAAAAATAGAGTTCATAAATAAAAAAATTGTTTTTAATTCTTTATACCATAAATTGAATTTTGTAAATGCACATAACGTTATATAAGAGAGTCATTATTGAGAATTGAAAAAAGTAGAAAATAGATTGAAATCCTAGTGATCACCAAATAGAATAATAAATCATAACATTGCATTAGAATAAATATGAAATTTATTATTATGAATTTTTTTATGAAGTTTTATATCCTTAGTTTTAACAAAACATTTATGACAAATATAGCACTTGTATTTATTTCCTATATGTTGTTTTTTATGTTTAATAAGATCATTTTCTTTAAAAAAAAATCTATTACATAAATTACAATAATATTTTGTACAATCTTTATTATGTTTCATATTAATATGTTTAACAAGCTGACATCGTTTGAAATATTGATCATTACAAAATGCACACTTAAATTTGCCACCATAATTATATTTATTTAATTCTCCTTCACATTTTTTTTGTATAATACATTACTCCTGTGTCATATTGAACACTTCTAATGAACTTTTTTTTTTAACTTTAGATTTTTCCTTTTTAATTTTTGAATATTTGTCACTATTATTGTATTTTTTGTTACATAAAGTTAAGTTGTAAGTTCTTAGAACTTGTTCCGTTAATAATGAACACACAGTATATGAATCAAGATTTTCATTCCTTCAATTAAAAATAAATAAAAAGTATTATAAATAAATAAAAGGAATACTAATAATAAAAAAAACATACTGGTTTTTAAGTGACATCACTATGTGTAGATTTTGAATATCATGACTAATGTCTTCAATACTTTTATTTCTGTAATAGTAAACTATTAATATTTACACATTTTTAACAATAAAAAATAATATAGAATAGAAATTAGTTAGTTTTCTTAATTAAACTTGTTAATTATTTCTAAAAAAACTAATTAATTATTTATAAATATACATATGTATTACTTGTTTTCAGTTATATCAATATTCTTAATTCCATTTCTTAATATATTAATTTGATATTCTTGATTATTATTAATATTTGTTGTACTATAAAAATACAGCATAATGTATAAAAACAATGTTTATAAAACATGTATTTAATGAAATATCACACAAATAAAATACATTAAAAACCATAGATGTACACAGAAATTCAAGTCTGGTGCAGCAAATACATGTAAAATTTAAAAGTTTTATAGCGCATATACCCTTAAAGACTCATTTTGTAAACTCAAATTGAAAATTTGTACAATAATCATCCTTTAATCCTAAGAAAATTAACATTTTTTCAACTGAATACCAAAATACATTTTTTTTACACAGGAGAAAAACTACATCATCTGCTAAAACCATTTCACTCGTAACATAAGGAATTTAATGAAGCATGAAATGAATATATAAATACAAAAAAAAATGAAAAACCAAACTACTTTATTTTTTAATACATTAAAAAGCTCTTAAAATATTAGATGCACAATTTAAGAAGTTCTTAATTCTATAGTAAATTAAATATATTTATAAATTAAGAATGTTTTATGTATTATTTCTAAGTGACTGAAAAGAAATTGTTATGCCCTCGAATTATAAAGGTCATTGTTTTTTAATTATAATAAACATAATATTTTCTGTCTAAAAATTTTTAATTTATTGCCAAAAAAAGATAATGGAAATTTTTTAACCTACTCAAATAAATTACAAAGAACATTTTCTCTTTTTATGCTACTGATCAATAATATACCACAATTATGGTTTTCAATTTAAAAAAATAATCAAAAAGTAAATTTGAAATTTTAATTATCTATTGGGTAAAATTTTTAAATGGAAAACAATGAAAAATAAATAAAACAAATTATTTCTGATAAAATATAATACCTATTCATTTTTCATTTGATAATATTGATAAATAATATTTCATATAATAATAATATAATTATAATTAAGATTTTAAGATAAAAGTGATATAACAATTTTATAGTTTAGTTACTTAAACAGACAATTAAATAAAATAAATAAAACATTTTATGTACGCGTTTTTTCAACTAAATTTGAAATTTATATCTTGTATCACGTTTGTACAACGTATAAATTATTACACTGTGATATCACAGAATAGATTTTTCCATAATTTGTTATCTATTGTGGAAATTAACTATTATTAATTTCTTTGAAGTATTACTCTATGGAATAATTAAAAAACTAATTGACTATAATCAACAGATCAAAATGATTCACGATCATAAATAAGTATACCTATATACAGCATTTAAAGATTATTAAAGTATTTTGATTTATATTTATAATTTTCAATTGTATATGAATTTATCATTTATCCTATGGTCAAACTGTTAAGCAGCTGATTTCATCGTCCGCAAATTTTATGATAGGACATCACAGTACTATGTATGTTATGTTTATCGCCTGTTAGCAGCACTTGCAACCCGCTGCAGTTGTTTTTCTTATATTCCGTCATACTTTAGTATGCTTATAGCTTCGATGGGCGTAGGCACGTAGTTGATTAATATAATTTTTGTTTTTAATAACTTGATGCGTTTTTATTTCAAATTTATATTATAATTATTTTGTGTCGACAAGTCACTTTTTTTATAAATTAGTGTGAATGTAATATTTTGAACATTGTCTGGTAGACATTTGTGAGCATTTGATTATTATGTGGGTTTGATAAAAGTCACAATATGTCACAAAATTCACGTGATACTGTTATCCATCTTGTGGCTGGAGGGTAAATTTTATTTACTGAATAAATTGTTACAAAAATTTATTGATTTCTTCATTTTTACTGTAGGCTCGCTGGCACTACCGGTGCAGTCATAACTTGTCCACTAGAAGTTGTCAAAACCCGGTTACAATCTTCATCCAGTTTTGGTTCGTCAACTTGTGTGTATGTACCAAAAATTGCAACTGATGATGGGGGTCGTGGTCGAATGACATGTAAGACAATATCATCGTTGCATAGACGAAGATATAATACGTTGAGTGGTGCTGGAGGGCGACACTCCAGTACACAAATATTAACTTTTTCTCAATGTGGTGTAGGCAGCCAAACAACAAAATCAATGGGTCTTGTTGAATGTCTAAGGTAAGAATTGTAAAATATTAAATTATTATTTTTTAATTAGAATTTTACTTAAATCATGTACATTTTTAACTATGATTATTAAAAAAATAATAAAATTAGGTTGGGTAGTGCATGATATTATGAAAAAATAGTATATTAAATCACAATTTGTTTAAAATAGTTCTTAACTTTAATAATTTTATTAATTTCTATAATATAAAAATCACTAACAAAGATTATAATTAAGTAGAATAGTATAGAAGGATTTAATTAATAATTAAGTCTTATAACTTCATAATTATACTCTGAAAATAAAACTGGATTTACTTTTAAATTAATTTTGTATTGTACATTATCATTGATCTATCATCTTTTGTAAAATTATGTGATAACCAACATTATTTAACACATTTGTGGTACAATGATCTTAAATTGTTTTGTTTACCACTTATGCTATCCCATTAATAAAAGTTTTTTTGATAAATAGAATATTGAAGGTTGAATTAATCTTAAATGTAGGTTAACATTGAAAAGTTTGTTTATAATATTAATTTATAATGTTATACATTTATAATGTTTGATGCATTTTTGTGTAATTTTAAAATAGTGTTAACTATAAAGAAAATTATTAATGTAGACTTTCTAAGTCTATAATTTACATAATAAATTAATGTTAACATAAAATGCTGATGTGTTTAATTTTTTAAATCTTATTTTGTTTACACAAATGTACTACCAAATAATTAAACATAAAAATATAGTTTTATAAACTATGCATAAACATAAATAAACAGTAACACCAACAAATATTTTACTTATTTAAATTAACTTTTTTATCCATCTAATTTCTCTACTAGATTTACTCAAGTTATTCCATGAGTTTTGTCCAATTAGTATTTTTAATTAAAATTTTAATTTTTTGGGAGGGAGATCATTTATCTGTTTTTTTTTTTTTAGTATCATTATTTTCTTATGTAATCTTTAAGTATTTTAAGTTGATACAATGTAAGCACATGTAGATTTGTACATGCTGTCAAATAAATATAAGAAAGATAAATATTTTCTTACTGGTATCCTTGATTAATTAAAAATTAACAGTTACAGAATAATTTTGTATAAAATATTTTGTCTTTATACTATCAATAATTATAAGTTAATATTTTGTTCAATTGTATATTATTTATAACTTTTTAATTAATAGTAATTAAATCATTGCATTGAAAAAAGTATTTTGATTAAAGGCTCATGAAATAGTGTTTTTTTTTCTTATGGAAATTGAAAAAATTAATGGAATATGTTTATAATCTATGTAAATAAGAATCTCCTAAAATTTGGAGGTATTTTTTTTTTCAACGCCGCAATTATATAACTTGATTTTATTTTTTAACCATAACTTCTATAATATTGTAAAATATTAAAAAATATTCTAATGATTCTAAATAAATATAATACATTTTATTAGTTTAATAATTTTTAAAATTCGATAACAACATGTGTTATTCCATCCGAAAAAATAATTTTTTTAATTAAATATTCGCCAAAAACAACCGTTAAATTTGGTTTTGCGACTTGAAAATTCCCCTCCTTTTTCCAATAAACGTTTATGTCTGTCCATACTGTGATTTATAACAGCCGGCTACATTATAAAACGCACGTATACCTATCGAGTACAACCGGTTTTCCTTGGACCATCAAAACACACGTGACCTTTATCACGAAGCAATATTATGTATGTTCTGCCGGTCATATGAACTTACGTTAAAAATTTAAATGAAAACAAAACTTGATCGTTGTCACGTAGACTAAAAAAAATTTCAAATAATTATTAATAAGTCTGATCNCACGTAGACTAAAAAAAATTTCAAATAATTATTAATAAGGCTGATCCAATATTGACATATTGCATTATTTTTTTTTTTTGGTTTTAGTTTTTTTTTCGTAATTCAACTTTGATAAATATCTCACATTATGAAGTAATAATATATGTAGTATTTGAGACAATAGTATGGTCGCTATCGCTTTGAAACCGGTTGATACGGGTATTAGACTGCTTGTCCATTAGTTTTTTAACATTATATACGCAGATATAGTGCACAGAACTCATAATTATTTTGTTAAAGTTATATTGTCCTATTGTTATATTATGAACAAGAAACTCGCCATTACCACTTAAATATACAGTGATTATAACTAAAAATTGTATAAGTCTAGACTATCATTTTTTAATTCATGAACTGTGTTGTTGCACTACGAGTGCAGAAAAAGGCTATGTAATGAAATTCATAATAATTGGCAATCTGATATTTGAATATAGTTTATTACATTATATATACATATAATGTGATAATTACATATAATACAAATAATAATAATTTACATATAATTATAAATTTCTATCTAAATATGCAAGCAAATTGCATAAAATTGGACTTGGACTTAATATAAATTATAAAAACAAAGTAACGTAAAAAATAAATAAGAAAAAGCTGTGTATGATATTTATAGATTTGAAGCAAACGTATGATAGAAGTTTTAAAGTGGGCATTAATGAGAAAAGGAGTCCCGAAAAGGTACATTAATATAATAGAGGATATGTATGATGGCACTTGTACCAGGGTAAATAGTGTGGGAGGAGTAACAGAAGGTTTTACGGGTAAGAGTAGAAGTGCACCAAGTTTCTGCTTTAAGCCCATAATTATTTTCTATAGTGATGGATGTGATGTATTGATTAAAAATTATTTTTAATTTTTTGTAGCCTCCATAAAACATGTATATCGCTCAAATAGGTTAATTATTTATAATAGAAATTTTATAAAATCTTATAATATAAGATAAATTAAGTATAATAATTTCATTATTTATTCAACTGAAATTTCGAAATAAACAAAACATATTTTGTGCATAATTTAAACACTAAATTAAATTGTTTCGTATAGACGTTGTTATATATTTTTTTAAATAGGAATTATGGTATGCCCATTGATTGCCCATCAGATTTTATTTATGTAAATAGAAAAGTTGATGAGAATATCAAGTAGTGCTCTGTTGTGTCTATTATTAGTTGTGTGTAATTCAATGGTTCACAAAACGTGATTATGCATAAGTCCCTGAAGTCGAAAAATTTTCTTGAAATGTATTGATAACATATGTGTTACTCACAGTTTTAATATTACTCGGTTCCATTACTCATATTTAGAACGCAGAATTCTATGTTTTTGTAAATTTTGTTAGGTTATTTCTAACTCACCATCAGCCAGTACAAATTTTTATTAATTGACTTGAAACTTATTAATTAACTTTTGCCGATGTTATAGTTTTAGGGGGAATCAATAGGTTAAACCTCCTAAAATAAAAAATATGTCTATAATACTGTATAATTCTACGCCAAAATTGTATAATCTTGGGATCCTTCAAAATGGCTTAGAAAAAATTTATAAATGCACATAATTCTGCGCTCTATTCATACTAATTGTGCTTACTAAATTTCATATTTTTTTAAAAATCTTACGTAACATATAAAATAACTAAAAATTAATAATTTAATTTAAGCCATAACATTTTTTAAATTCTAGAACACTTATATAAATTAAATATGCCCCTGTCAAATTAAATGTAAAAAATTAATTCGATTATATTAATTTTATCAAAGGGTTTGAATGTTTGATATAATATTCGGGCATAATTAACATCATATTTTTATTTATATATCAATTACCACGAATGTATTCAATAAATATTTTGGTTTAAAAATTAATATAATATCATAAAATATATATAAATATATGTCACGCGTGTTATATTCTTTAAAAGCTTCTCTAAACATTAATTTTCATGAATAATAACAAAAATATAAATTAAACGATTTTAATGGAATTTTGTTTGAATTAAAATTCCTAATGTAAGATCTAAAATTACAGTTTTTATAGATATAGTCGTGTGTTTCATTTTAATACCACGTGTCTGATGTTTTTTTACCTATGTTGACACTTCGATACAATTAGATGAAAAAAAATTGTGATGATACATTTTTCCTATTACAGATCAAACCTATTTCCAACGTACAATAATTTTTTTATTGCTATTTGCAAAATTGTCACATTAATAGCACGATATATTATACATACATAAACTTACGTTTATTTAGCTTAAAAATTTACTCACTCAATCGTAACAATATCAATTAATGCTTAAAATTGTTTTTACAAACACAATTTTTTTCCATTAATACTATTATATTTTTAATTTAATAATCGTTTAATAAGATTTTATCAGAATTTATTCTGATCATTCATAAAAAAAATTCAATAATTTTTCATCTGCGCAATCAATAAAAATAATTTTCTCATTACTATTCTTTTTTTTTTAGACACGGACATTCTAAAAGGGGGATAGACCTCCTCCATTATCAAAAATGGTAAAAATGCATTTAGGAGGGGTTAGTAAAAAATGTTTTTTGTATATCTCCTTTCGATACAAAACCTAAGAACGTGTCTGCCGTAAAATGTTTTAGTCTTAACTTAAAAATGATACAATGACCTGTAAGTTTTGCTTGTAATGGCGTAAACAATATAAAATTTTAATTAGTCATTAAGTTTTTATTTTCTTGATAAGATTTACCTATCTTATTTAACATAAGATTGGAAATATTTTTGTATAATATAAGTACTTCGTGTATTGATTTAACAAACACCTCTCTTGGTTTAATCATTTAATATGTATATAAATAAATTTTAGTATGAGAAATATTAAAAAGTTTGAAACGTGTTATAGTACTCAGTATATCTTTTGCTACGTAGTATACTATTAAAATTGTCAATTTTATTAGTAAGAACTTATTTATGAAATAGTCATAAACTTTTTTGAAGGTATTAATAATATTCATTCGTTTTAAATAATAAAAGAGCTCTGTATACAGACCTTTTTTATTAGGAAAAGTACTAGCCATTATTTTTTTAATATTGCTAACTAATTAACTATTTTCAAAATGCTTTCAATACTTTAAAAAATGTTAATGAGTTAACAAATGGTTATAAACTATACCAATAATAGCAAGTATTTTAGTTTTCTTAATATTTGTTTCCATCAAGTTAGCAATTATATTTCTCTATTTTCTAGGCACATTGTAAAAACCGAAGGACCAAAGGCTCTGTTCAAAGGACTGGTGCCCAACATCGTGGGTGTCGCTCCGTCCAGAGCCATTTACTTCGGGGCTTACTCACAGTCCAAAAAGTTTTTCAACAACGTACTTAACCCGGACACACCGATTGTACATGTACTATCGGCGTCTTCTGCAGGTAAACATTTGCACCTTGGCCTTGTGGCCTGTGTTTTATTAACATCTAGAAATTTAGTCGTCCGGTATTAAGTGTTTTTGAGCATTTTCCGTAGTTGCTCTTGAAGATAAACGCATGCCGTGATTTGACTTATAAGGTCTTTTTATTGATCCTTAATAACTTCATGTCAACTATAGTCTCAATTGCGCCGTAATATTATTTAAAAGTGATATTTATGGTTTAAAATTGTGTTTTTGCATAGCACGAATAATAATAATAATATATATATGAATTTATAAATATTATAATAAAAATATATTATTAATAGAAAGCCAATGTTTGCATTAAAATGTCGTATATATTGTTTTTTATCATTCAACGTTCAAATATACAAATACAAATCATCATAGGTTCATTATTAATTAAAACGACTTATTAAGTAATAACAATACCCACTGTCCTATAGCTTAAGTAAATGTTGGCTAGATTTTGTTTTGCTGCTCTTGATTGATTGTGATCTTAATTTAAACTTCGTACCGTTAAAAAAAATCATGTTTCTCTGTCACTATCGTTAGTGTTACATTTAAATTATTAATATTTAATTATTCTAACGCTTAATAACTATAAATTAAACTTTTATTAACATATAAGAAGATTTGTTTTTTTTTTTTTTTTTAAGAAAACTACGTTTTAATTTGATTAAAATTAATCGCATTGAAGTTATGGCAATTTATAATAGAGTTTTATTTTAAACAATCATTATTTTATTTCAACTCATAGTATTCCATCTACTGCTATTGTAGACTACAAATTAACTTTTATTACTTGTGAACTTATATATTTAATAAAATTATCTCATTTTTATAAATAATAGTAAATATATATTTTAATAAGGCTTTTTAGACAAATTATTAGTTTTTGTTTTAATATTATATTTGTATTAGTAACACCATATAAATAATAAATTTTCAATATAGTTTTCCTTTTTTATTTCTTACCACCATCTCATTTTTATTAAAGTTATTGTGTAACCTTGATAGTATATTGATTTTGGTGTGGTTTTTGAAAAAAAAAACTAATAAGTATTACTATTTGAAAAGTGTTCATTTGATCAAATCGATTGAACAAATCGTTAGTATATTTTAATTGAAAAAAAAAATGTATTTACCTTATTTTGAAAATGTTTAATCGGCAATCTGTTAACATTTATCCAAAGATAGTTGATAGTGAATTGTTAATCAACTATTTGTATTACAAATTTCAATCAAAACATTTGAATGGTTGTTCGTATACAATGCTATATCATAGACTACATTGTTCTTGATGTGTTAATCCATTACATGTATTATTCTATATGATGAACTAAAATAAACTTAAGTAATTCTCTATTAGATAAGATTTTTAATGTAGTGAATTATATATGAAATCATTATTAATTCGAGGAAAAATAATTGAAGTACTGACTTTCGAAAGATTTTGAAATCCTAATTGTTTGTAAGTGCAATTTTTGTATCGATGCCTACGAATAAAATATGTAGGATTTTTTATTCATATCATATTAGTAGTATGTATTGTAAAGTAGCAAGACTATTCGATTAGTTGTTGACACGCTATTTTATCTAATTCTAAAATTTTCAATCGACACTATTTTTAAGTGTTACCAAAAAGTTGTATACTTTTTACTGCACTTTTTTATTATAATTTAATAACGTAAAAAATATCATGCGAGTTGTCACATGTTTTTGTTTATTTCGTTATATTTTGGAACGATAGTGATGTGGCCTTGTTTTCCATGGGATCCTGTCTGTTGCCGGTATTGTTGTTGTTGTTGTTGTTTTGCTATTGCGCATGCGGTTGGGTTGCCTATCCCCACTCGGGCCATTGAAAGGATAATACAGAGTGTACTACGTTACTTCTCTCACGTAGGCACCCAGCAATTCCATCAGACGACCGTGTCTCCATTCATTTGCTATAACTACACACTATAATCTGCTCAATTCACTTTCAACGTACGCCTTTGTTTACAAAATAAATTCGTGAATCCTTATCTCTAGGTTCATTTTATCAAACTCACGTTATTATTCAAATATTATGATAAATTCGATTCGCAATTTCGGATTTCGATATTAAACGAATAGTTTTTTTATGGACTTGTGTAACATATTTAGTGATCTGAAGTACCTTTATTTACTTTTTTGAAAACGAAATGTCTGTTTTTTGTACAACCCTTGTATATAAAGTGTATTACACATTTTTATAAGAATTATCCAAATTGATAAATCCTCAAAACAATTGTTTTTTTTTTCGATTAAATACCATTAAAGTTTGATTAATCTTAATAGATGTATCGATTATTAATTTATAGTCTTGAGCTAAACTAACATGTGACTTCCATATATTATTAATTTTATACGTTTGTTAATTTAATAATTCAATTAAGTTTTATATCGATTGTATGGTGCAAGATTTTGATATAAACAACATTATACTGTTCTTAAATTAGGTAGTTAGTAGTAAATTAATAATTTACGTAGTAAAAGTAACTTTTTTCTATCACGTGTATAAATAACGGTTGATCATATCATTATATCCATATCTTCTGGCTAACTAGAATAAGGATGACATAATACGGTTCGTTGACTAATGTGTTTGTTTACAACATATAGTTAAAAGTATTCCCGCGAGGATGCGCTAAAATTTGTTATTCTAAAAAATATTTTTATACTTGCTCCTTAATCATTGAACTATAAAATTACACTCGTTCTATTATTTAAACCACACTTTTATCATTGTTTTCGTCTAATCAAATTTGAATACTAGCTGTTATTGAATTTTTTTAAAGTAAACGTTATGTAATCTAAAAGGTGATTTGGAATAGTACAAGTTTTTAATTGCTAACAAAATTTTCGCATGATTTCATTGCGTTTAAAAGTTTTGATGAACCAATATGATTACTTTTATAATTTTAGATGATTGACGATTCAAATATAACATTTCAAGGAAATCTTGGTCAAGGACAATCCCTAATAATTTTATAACGTGTTTCCCATAATCAGTCCGTTATCAGTTGACCGTATTTTTTTACTACTATGAAAAGTTGAGATTATATTACTTTATAATTTAAGTTTTGGACTTCAATATTTACATACATATAGTTTTTGTATTTTTTTCTTTGGCTAATAAGTCTAGTGTGGTATTTATCATTTATAGTTTGAGTACTAATGTAATTTATGAACTCTTATCAATTTTATCAAGCGTACAGTTTACGTGTTTAATAGGAAAAAAGTGCTTGGCCCGTATATTGACTCTGAACTGATAATTTCATGTGCATGAATTTGTCAACTACTACGTTATTCATTTTTATCTTTACTGCATAATTTAATCAGTATTTTTTTGACTATAATTTCTAATATCTATCATCTCATAATAGATATTAGTACTCGACTCATTTTAAAATAAATTACGACCATTGAGTTATTAAAATTGCTTTGTAGACGATATCTTTCTATTCCGTGTACTTGGAGTTTTTAAAAAAACTATTATAGGTTATAATAACCTATTTATTATTAATGAATATCGACTCCATTGTTATCTTTATTAAAAGTGTGTAAGATCGAAGAATGTAATTTTTTTCTGGCTATCTTATTTCTTAGTTCAGTTTAAATAACTTTAATATTGTGTTGGGTTGTTTTTCATCAATAGAATCGTGACCGTAAAAACAACTTATATATAAGTAATGTATGTATGTATGTTAATCATCTATATTAAGTTAAATGTAATGACGTTAATTGGCGGCAGTGACAACAGAAATGATCAGCAATTCAAAATACTTTAATTGCAATTCGACTAAATATATTTTTTAAACGTAAAAGAATTCTATCTTTTCTTTTATATAGATTATTAAATAGTACACGATTGACGTAATATATTAGATATATGTTTTTCTAACAAGGAATACTTTTTGGGAATAAAGAAATTTCTATCTGTCATTAGAAAAATAATATTTATTTATTTATATATTAGTGCATTGACTGAATAATTTTAAGTTAGCTTCTTGGGAAAAACGTCAACTTGTGTGATTTTCTTGGCTAACCCAAATGTGTACCTTCTTAAAAATTACAATAACAATCAAGCAAAGCACTCCAATGCTGCACCTCAATAATAGTTAATAAATTTTTTATTGGCAATAATAAATTGATATATGACTTGTTTACTGAATAGTTAATTTGAACTTTATTTTTATACCATATATTATCTCTTGTGATTCTATTTAATAACAGTTCAACTAAATTTATTTCAATATGCAATGTACATTCAATTTAGCCAATTTCCATAAAACATTTTAAAAACTTGATTTTTAAAAATAAGAACAAATTCTTTGGATTTTTAATGTATTTCAATATAATTTCAAATATATAATTCAATTAAAATTTTTTTATGAATTTGCATAATTAATACTATATAATATATTATCTACTTCGTAAAAATTTAAATCATTGTACCAATTTAGAATTCAGTCCAAAATTACTGTATAAAATATGAAATTACTGTTTTTTAAACATTAATTAATCAAATTATTTAGGTAAACAATATTTTTATTTCCCAAAATTAATTTTTAACCATTTCTTTTGTTCCAAATTATTTTTTTGACATTATATTTAATAAATAATTCATTTTTTTCTTTTTTAGGATTCGCATCATGTTCTGCAACAAATCCTATATGGCTAGTCAAAACGAGACTGCAGCTCGACTTAAACAAAAACGGCCAAAGACTCACAGCCGGCCAATGTATTAGGAGGATATACAGAACCACTGTAATTTTAATTTAATTTTGATATTTTTTTGCGTTAAAAACTGAAAAATGTTTTAAAAAATTAACAGGGTATTAAGGGTTTTTACAAAGGCATCACAGCATCATACTTTGGAATATCCGAAACTGTCGTACACTTTGTAATATACGAAGCAATTAAAGCGAGACTGATAGCCGCCCGGACAGGAATCAAACATCCGGACGACAAAAGCAAAACGTCCAAAGATTTCCTTGAGTTTATGATGGCCGGCGCTACATCTAAGACTATTGCATCCTGCATCGCCTATCCTCATGGTAAATAACTTCAGAATTAATCCATGTTATAGATGCGTTTTTTAAATACGTCTATTACAGATTATCATCGATTCATAGTTAATTAATCAACATGTAATATCTTTTGGTTAATGCTGTTTTCTATAGAAGTTGCCAGAACGCGGCTTCGCGAAGAAGGCACCAAATATCGAAGCTTTTTTCAAACTCTTTTTACTGTATACCACGAAGAAGGGCCAAGAGGACTTTACCGAGGCCTTTCCACACAGCTGGTCAGGCAAATACCTAACACGGCCATTATGATGGCCACGTATGAGGCGGCCGTCTATTTAATGACAAACTATTTTCCCGAAAAACCTGATATTTTCTATGAGGATAGTGACGACCGATATGAATGATATTTTAAACATCTAGTATTGATTATGGTTAGCATGTTTAATTTATTTATTTTTAAGTTCTATATTAATATTAAGTTATAATATTAAATAATTATACAGAGTGTTCACAAAGTAAGCGAACAGGTCAATTGTTACAAACAATGAGAACAACAGAAACACGTTTCCTTACATTATGAACACCTATATAGTATATTTTTTATGTTCAACTTTTTTTTACATTTATGCTTTTAAGTAGGAAAAAATATAAGTATACCTATTACAAGTTTTTGAGTACCACTTAAAAACTTAGTTTTCAAGTTGAAAGTTAAAACATATTGTGTTATTGTAAAATCATTTTTATTTCAAATTGCGAAATTTTGTTTTCGATGTTTTAAATAGTTTGTTTTCGATGTTACAATGTTATCATTGAAATGGATCTCAGTTGATCTATTGTATTTGTTTATCATATTAAAGTATAAAAATATATAATTGATAGAAATTGATTTATTTTTAGCCAAAATAAATAAGATATTATTTAATGATAACCATTATCAACCGAAAAATAATTTATTACCATTATAATCACTTTTAATATTTATTTATTTATGTATATTTTATTTATACGAGTGCTAAACTTGTATATACATGAAATGATATATTCCATTACCTAAGTCAATAATGCTGTTTTAACAACCTTGAAAATGTTATTACTGTTTTTCCTGGTAATTATTTATTGTGACGTTCATGTTAAAATTTTCTTTCAATTTGACTGAATTTCAAGTGTTACTAAAACACATATTTAAAACATATATATACATTTTTAAATGTCCCATAAGACATTGTAAATTTTGAAATTTTTAGTAATAATCCTGTGAATTTCACGGTACAAATTTTATGGACTGCTTCTTATTCTATAACCAAAATAAATTAAAACAATATTTTAATCAATCTATATACAAATGTTCAAAAATAAATTCAGTAGTTAAACTGAAGACTATGTTAACTTTTTATTTGCTATCTATGAAATTAAAGTATTTGTAGTTATAGAAAACATGAAAAAACAATAGTTACAACACGCGTTTTTTTTTTTATTAAATACATTAGTTGATAACCTTTGAATATTCAGTCAAATAGTTTCTACACGACTTGCATTCAATCTATTAATACCATTCATTGACGTATCTACCACGTCAAACATCTTAGTAATTTTTAAAATGAACTCGCAAACTCAAAATACCATGTGTTTTATAAACGTAATTTTTCTTTAAAATATTAAATACTCTTTTTTTTTTTTCAGATACAAATGATCTCAAAGTGTCGTTAGCAAAAACTTTTTAGTGATTCGATATAGCGCAACTGAATCTTATAATTGCTTCCAGTACGCGTTTTTAGTGTATAAAATTGAACGTTAATCTGTGCGCTAAATAGTCATCCCATCATTTAAGCACGAGCCACCTTATTTTATACTTGTATACATCTATACTATATTTAATATTACTTTTAAAGTTAACAATTTATGTCACGATAATTTATTTTGTTTTTCATACCAAGTTAAATTTGTTTCCTTTCTAGTTTGTATTTTTATGATATTTATATAATTATTCATTTGTTAACATAATTAAGTTAATGCGTTATACTACTCTTGTCACCATTAAATTTGTAATATAGATATCAAATTTTGATACTAAAAATTAAAATATTTGTCTCAAAATCAAAATTATTATTATTTTTTTAAATGAATATTGTTTTTTATTTGTATAATGAAGTAAGCCTGACTTTTATTTTTATACAAAATGTAAAATAAATGGAATTGTGTAGTTAGTGCTGAGTAATAATTATGAAACACCATGTATTTTTAATACAGCAATTAAGATAAATGAGCTATAAATTAGTTTATAGAATACCATCATTCTATGTAATTTTTATGTAAAACTGTGTTCTTAATTTTGAGAATTGTTTTTATCTGGTGATTTAGAATACAATCCTAAATAAACTTGTTTAAAATGTTTCTATGAGTATTTTTATAGAAAATCCTAGTCCTTTTTACTAGAGTTAAGTCATTTGATTAGATAGTTAAATCAAAAATAATTTATATAATATAAATATTAAATCTGTAAAATACTAAATATTAATTATTTAAATGAATTTATATATCAAAAATTCTTAGTAAAATAATGTGATCTGTAATGGATGAACTTTGTAAGAATTAGTAAAGTAATATATAATAAAGTAATTTTAGAATTTTATTTACAATCTATCTATTGAAATTAGAAACTTATATCAAATTTAATGACTAGTGATGTGCCATCTATGTTATTAGGGATTAAAATAAGTTTTTTTTTTTAAACTCGAAACTTAACCAAACACAAATATCACAATACTATAGTTAAAAATAAATGTTTTATTACACAAAATGAGTCGCAATGATATGACAAATTCAATAACTTTCTATCCAATAATAATTTCTTTTATAATTGTTTTTTAATATTTATTAAATCCTCAATATTAATATATAACTAATAACTAATATTATTTATCACTAGTAAGAAAATAAAATTTTTTTTTTTAATGTTAACTAGCTGTTTTTATCTGTTTTATTACAAAATATTATTATGGCTTGATAAAAGTTTAAGACAAGTAATCATCGATTTGCAAGCATTTTAATAAATTCAGTTGATTGAGAACGCCAGCGGAGTTACGTCACCAGTTGCTCCCTCCTGCGTTGCATACCCACACCATATTTTATAATGCATGCAATTCAATAAGTACTTGTGCTAAAATAATTTTAGGACAATGGATCAACAACATTAATTGTTATGGATTCATTAAATATTTTTGTAAAGGAAGTCTAAAAATTAACCTTTTTAGGTCCAGTTTTAAAAAATATAAAAATTTTACATTTTTATAAAATGTTATAATCACGTTATAAAAAAAAATTTTTATTAGGGTTGTGTTATTACAATTAAATTCTAACTATAATATTATAAACATTTTTTTTTTAATTCATGAATATTTTTATAATTTTGTTGTAACTATAGTTTACTGTCTGTGAGTCTATTTTTATACACGTTCAAAATTTGCACTGTTTCAACTATCTATCCTTCAAAAATTATTAACAGAAATGAAAAAAAATAATTATCAAACTATAATATTACTGTGTCGAAAGCTATAAAAAAACTGAGTAAAAGATGTGTATAAATGTAAATGAAAAAAAACTATTTTTTTAACTTTGAGAAAAATATGATAACTACTTTTTAGAGTAAATTTAAAAAAACGGTAACAAAATATTTTTAAATATTTTGCAATTAAATTTCTAGAACACGTAAAAGTTTTTAAAAATATGAAAAAGTTTATATTTATATTTTACGGTATCAAAAATTTGTCTGCCTAAGTAAGAAGAGGATATAAGTAAAGCATATTACATATATGTTAATTATCAAATTTTTTTATGAAAATTATTATCATTTGAATGGGCGTCCGAAATTTAAAACAATAACTTTCATGGAAGAAATTACAAACATATAATTCCAACAGTTGGCAGGGAAATAATACATTTTTTAATATATATTTCAATGCTTAATGCCATAATATCTTCTTATTTTTCCTCGCCTTAATCCCAATTACTTGGGGTTGGCCACCCTTATCCTAAACGTCCACTTGACATGATCTACCACATCCTCAACGCTCACATCAGCTGTCTTCATATCGCATTCAATACATACCTCTATCTCTTTTTTGGTCTTCCTCTACCTCTACTTCCTTCAACATTGATTTTTATAATTGTTCTTACAGTTTCCGATTCTTCTCTTCTCATGACATAATCAAACTATCTAAGTCTATTTTCTCTCATCCACGATTGACGCTATACCTATACTCCCTCTTATATGTTCGTTCCTTATCCTATCTTCTCTAGTCACTCCACTCATCCATCTAAGCATTCTCATCTTTGCTACACTCATTCTCTGCTCTAATTTCTCATTTGCCTTTCAGCCTCTTTGAAATTCTTTTACTTAAACTTGTGTCTTACATCCTTGTCAATACCACCGCTCTTTTGCATAACTGATCCTAAATACTTAAAACTTTCCATCTCTTCTATCACGTCCTCACCTATTGTCACTGGTCTCCTCATTTCACCTACCTTGTGTTCTCTTTTGTCAAATTCGTACTCTATATACTCTGTCTTACTCCTGCTTATTCTTGAACCCTTTTTTTCAAGAAATGATCTCCACACCTCTAGCCTTTGATTAATTTTCTCCTTATTTTTCTCCTAATGCCATAAAATAATTACAAAAATTACAATTTTTATAAACTTTAAAATTCTGTAGAAATTTAACTACAAAACATTAAAAAATGATATGTTACCAATTTTTTTTTTAATTTCCTTTAAAAAGTGGCTATCTTGATTTTTTTAATAATTTAAATAAATATTTTTTTTAAACTTCGTTACAATATTTTCATTTTGAATGACGAAGTAACTTAAAAGACAAAATTTGACTTGGCCATCTTCTCATAAAAACCTTTCATATTATAACTCAGATTCTTTTATTTTTTATTCATTTAATAACAACAAATTATATAAAAAAATTAATTTATTTTGTTCAATTATTACAGTAAGTTATTATTTTAAAATTATATTCATACTATAAAAAATAAAAATGATGAGTTTATGGAAAATGGTTATTTTGTATAAAATGCAAAATTACAATAAAATAATACTTTTTCACTTTAATAATTGATATCAACCAAATACAAGAATTTGAATACATTAGACTGACAATTTTTATTTAAATAATAATTATAACAAAAATAATGACTAGTAAATACAGCAAATTTGGTAAAAAATATTTATATACATTTAAATGTCTACTGCACATTAAAAATATAAAATAAAACTAAATCTTATCAAGCAAACCTCATCTAAGTATAACACTATAACATGTAAAATTATGTTTTAAGCAAGTTTTACTATAAATAACAGAATGGTCAATCATGGTGTTCTTAATTACTTTTTTGTTCAACCATTCTTAAGTCATTATTTATTAATAAATGTTTAAAGGAAAAATCAATTTAAATTGTTTCAATCAGTTTAATAGATAGTACACCTTTTTTAAATTAAAGAAGGTAATGACTGTATACAACAAATGAATATAATTTTTAATTTTCTGTAACAATTAACCTTAATAGTAACACCTAATTAAAATATTACTACATAAAATATTTCATAAATATTTAAATTTCAATAATTATGCTTATTAACTTTTATAAATATAATATAGAAATATTAGTTAGATGAAATAAATGAGTAAATGAGAATATAGACTTTTGTTCATAAAATATTACAAGTTTTTTTTTTCATTTTATCGAATTGTAAAATGTAATTTTATATCTTGCATATTTTAAATAAATTCTCTTAAATCATAAAATTATTAAAAATAATATAAAGAGATCAACTGATAAAACAAATTATTTAAAACATAGGAAATATGTCAAAATGCTTAACATACATTTTATTAAAAATTTTTGTCAATATATTTAAATAATTTAATAAATAATTTCATGGAATGTGCATGTTACATGCTTCTTTAAAATTAGAAGCATTGAACACACTAAAATAATCATCATGTATAAATCTAACAGCAGACTCGATTGGACATAAGTATATTCCTTTAAATATAACATGATTGCAAAATGATACTGAATGAGTTACATCTTTACCATTAAAAATTACTCTAAAAAAGAAGTCTTTACCTGGATATGAAGAGTCAATTGAGTTATTTCTATATACCTCAAAAATTAATCTTGATGCATAATTGGGTAATATCGCTTCATGATTAGAGATACCAAAGGTTGTCAATAAATATTGAAGTGTTAAATCGTGACCAGCATATAAAACTAAATTTGGTTTATTCTCAGACACCATTTTAAGGAGATTTAAAGCTAAATTTAAAGCAAATCCATAAGATTTCAACAAGCCTAGTTTGTGAAAAGCATTGTGTTTAGAGTGTTGTTTCAAATCCCAATCAATAAACCCAAAAAGATCTTCAACATCCCCTACTTTTAAGCAGTTATGATGATGGCATGGTAAAGGTGCATCATGACATATATATGTTAAAATAGAATCTTTTAGAACATAGGGATCAACATGAACACTTTTAGGTAATGAGTACACTATATTGTGGACACGTTTTAGTAACTTCTCCACGATTCTATGAGATCTTAAGCGTTTTGATGATGACTGGCCTAATTTTTTAGATAAAAGTTGAGCATTTTGGCAAGCACAGTGATCAAAGCAATATGAATAACTGTCACTTTCTTTAAATATTATTTTAGAAAGCAAATCTGTAGGTAAAATTGAATACATGAATGCTAAAGCACTTTGGAATGTACGCCTATATTTTGTACTATATACAATAATTTCTTCAGAAGTAGTAATATTTAGTAAAGAGGAGTAGGTAGTACGTAAAATTTTACCTAATTTTAACATTTGAGCGACACCAACTGGAGTTAGTTGGCTTATAGAACAATTATTTTGAGTAATAATAGGGTAACTATGAAAAGGACCAAGAAATTGTAAAGACCCATTAAAATATAAGTTTTCTAAAAATTTTAAGTATTCTTGATGATATGATTCAGGAATAATACCACAATTCACACTTGCTATACTACGAACATGAGTCAGAGGTCCACGATCACCATGTCGAATTAGAATTAAAACACCTTGAATAGTAAAACTGTTTTTTAATATGCCTAAAAATAAAACATAGTATAACCAAAATCTTCAATTTATATATTTTATATTAAATAGATATTTTACCTATATTTCCTTCATCTCCAATAGCTATCATATTAGGAGCATTACAAAACTTGTTTAATTTTTTGTAATTCAATTTTGATAAATTTATTGGTTTACGAGTATGTTTTTCAGTTACATGTACATTATTTTTTTCTATTGTTGGATTATCTGATAATTTTAAATATAATACTGGAAACAAAAAATAATAAAACATTTTTAATTACAAATTGTATATCATACTAGTGATTTTTACCAGGAAAGCAGACGCACAACCATATTATTAAATACAATAAATATCTACGACGTGTCATATTCCGTACTGTGGCAACTTGAATGTAGGCCATTTAATGTGAAATTTATTGTATAACTTTAATTAGGTTATACTCATCAATGTCAAACTCATAACTCTGAATTTTATATTCCATTTATCTTTGATTATAAGAACCATATTGAATATTTGAATATATAATAAATCCAGTATGTTATTTCATAATATTTATACCAAAAATGGTCAATAGTAAGAGTGATTATTACAATTTGTAAACACTTAATTTTATTAATTTAATAAAATCAATTAAGACAAAAAACAATTATTTTAAGTAAAATATCATTACAATTATTATTGTAACAAAAAATATATAATTTAATCAATAATACACATTTAGAATCTTTTAACAACAAAATATTTCTATTCCAGATAATAAATAAATAAGATATGTTGAGGTCTTTGAATTTATTAATACTGAATATTATGTATGTAGAAATTATGATAAAACTATTTATCAAATGTTCTTATACTGATAATATGATTTATTTCTATGGCCGCAATAGATAAGGTAACGTAGTACAACCTTCTCTTCTTGTAACTATCCCTACTGAACTTTTAAGTACATAGACAAAAAAATTTCTTATTAACAGTGGCGTATTTTGAATGATTTCTCGGGTGGTGTCCAACTTTTAATGAACCTCACAAACGAAAATTATAGAAATGTTTACTGACGTAAAAAAACTTTCTATTTTTCTAATTACTATTTTAGGAATTGACAAATAATTTGAAATTTTGGTACTGTTGTATCTTAAAAGAAACAACCCTAGTGTCTTAACTTAAAGTAATAAAAGTTTAATAATAACTCAAATGTATTTATTATAGATATAATTAAACAATGCAAAACATACAAAATAAATATACACTAAAAACACAATAAAACAATACACAAAATGAAAACTTAATGTCATAAACGTACCGCGCGAAAAGAGATTACCTTCGGTGCTCCTGAGGTCCTCTCTCCTCTACGATTCATTCCATTTCGTCTTACATACTAAAATATTTTGTTTTTCTTCTTTATGCAAAATTAATAATACTATCGTTTTCAAAAATGTTTATAAATATTAAATTCCTGGTCTAGTAATAATAGATCAGGAAATTACAATTAAACGAAACATTACAAAAATGTTTTACTTACAGCTTTACAAATGATAAACTATATTACAGTATACAGACTGATTTTTTTATCATAACCCACTCATTTACTTGTAGAATAAATATAATTTAAACATTATTTTTGGTTTTCTTTAGTAACACATTATTCTTAAATTATTAACTATTTAAAACTTTTTTTGTTCATCCTTTATGCCTTGTAAGGGTGTCAACTTTGTCTTTTTGTCTTTTAAATGGGAACACATATTTTGAATATAATAAAATTTTTGGATTTTTAATTAAATAGTAAATGGGATTTGAATTTTTAACATAACTTTATTAGTTTATTAGATATAAACATTTAAAGTTTCAAACTTTTGAGTTAATATACATGTATAATACACATGATGATATGATTACAAATACAGGTAGCTAAATGGTTTATATGATATCAATGTCGCAGTCACGGATTGTTTATTATCAATTATGACTATCATAGATATACTTTCTGTATTGACAGTTAGTGTATTTATAAACTCACAACAATGTGCCTTACTACCATTGATAATAACAATGCTGTGTACCTGCTAATTTCTTTGAAGTTGTTTTAAACAAAGTAACTCGTAACTAAATACTTTATTTATAATAAGTAAACAAATAATAAAATCTCCTTTCAGTATTGATGTTCGTAAATTACTTGCTTTTGATGATGTTTCAGTGTCATTCCACTTCGAAATTATAAATAACGATTCAATTAGGTACACAAAAAGCTCAAGAAAATCATTGACAGCATAAAAACGTTCAACTCATTTAGTCGCACATAATTGTTTTAATGATTTTTTAGTTATACATTTTTGAATTTCTTCGATTTGACTTTTCAACACATCTTTTCGCTTTGGGTATATGAAAAAATCTCTAACTTTAGATGTTGTTCTTCAACAATTTCGTGTTTCTTGTATAGAAGATGAATAAGAAATAGCAAGGTTTAAAACATGAACAGCACAATGAACAAACGTCACAAGCGGATAACTTTGATGAATAAGAGATTGAGCCCCGTTAAATTGACCAGACATAGAAGCACATCCATCGTAACACCAATTTCTACACCAAATGAATGTAAACTTTGAATAATAATATATAAATCTTTTCCAGTAGTATCTGTTGTAGGCACAAACTGAAGAATTCTTCCTTGATAATCATATTTTCAACATCTAAATATCGAACACACAAAGTTACTTGTTCGCTTCCACCAATGTCGGCCGTTTCATCAGCAAGTATTTTGAAACATCTTTGGGCATTTATGTTTGTTACGATTTTATTTAAAATAATTTTATTACAGGATTCAATTATTTCATTTTGAAGTGTTTCACTTGTATATTTTATTGTTTCTTCAGCTTCCAAAAATGATTTTAAACGGTCATCTCCTTGGGCACTGTATCTTAATATTTCTCTAAAATTTCCTTGATTTTCTTGAATAATTTGTCATTTTCATTGAAGTTAAAAAGATAGCCGTTATTGTCAAAAAAAAAAAATAATAATAATAACATTAAAAATGCAAATAATAATTAAACCTATAAGGTAGTTAAACCCTAAAGTTATTTTCGATTTGTTAAAGTCGTTAAAATTAATTCAAATCTCCTGTTATTTTCTTTTATCAGAATTATTATGTCATTAATTCAATTATTAATTAAATTGTTAAACTATATTATATATTTAACTTAATAAATTTTTATGTTGATTATAATCGCATGGCATGATGTTTTTTGTTAATAACTAAATGGAAATAGCAATTTCACATGGGCAAAATTTTTAATAGTTGCAAGAGAATAAATCCAAACGTTGATATTTTATTTCATACAGATTAAATTTTATATGCATAAATATTCTGTTAACCGATATCAAATTTATTCCACTTGAACTTTCATAAAAAAATCTCTATCATTTGTAAACTAATGTAATAAATAAACAAACAAATACAAAAGGTTTTTCTTCAAAATATATATATATATATATTTTTTTTTTTTTTGATAATTCTCTGTATTATTCTTAAAATATTGTATTCTTTGACCAATAATATAATTAAAATAAATAAGTATTGTTTATACTAAATTTATTTATAATTGGCTTACACATTTTTTTAATGAATTTTTACAATTAAGTTTCCTTGACAATTAGATATAAATGTTGATTTTATCGACATTTCAGTTCACTTCGTTTTTTCCTGTGAAAAATAAACTATCGTCTTGTGTAATTATTAAGATTTATTTAATTAATTATTGATATGGCAAGTGAAAAAATAATTTTTGGTCAAACAAATGAATCAAACTTACATAAGGTCATACGCAGAGTTGAAGAAATATGGAATCGTCGTTTCATGCATTCCAATTGTGTTTTAAATAATACAAATAAAGGACAAATATCAAAAAAGTCAACTAAAGATGGAAGAATTATCTGTAAACACTATTAAGATTAATAATTAAACTAACTATTTCGAATAGAGAAAAAGTTTTTTAATATAAAATATAAGAAAAATTAATAATAAGTTTTCTTATTCATATATAACAATAATTCAATCGCTTCACTTTAATTTAACTATTTTAATATTAAAAATCTTTTTCGAAATTGATTATGTAATTAATTAATTATTAAAATTATATTCAATTTGCAGCAATTATTAATAAAAATATTTATCCTATAAAAAATTCTATTATTCCAAAAAAACGCACGTATCGAAAAACGAATAAAAATGATAAAATTATTCCAGAAAAATTGGTAACTATAATTATATTAATATATTTATTCGATTTAGCTATGTTATTGGG